AACACCAAACAGTAACTATAGACATTAAATCCAACATATATGCACACTTAGATTCAACATGCAACCCCAAAACATCATCAATCACCACACTCTTCACCAAGAACCCAAAACCTTAACTTTTTACACACAACACTTTTTGATTTGATCCACACTTAATCACAAATTGAAATGAATTCATGCCACATACAATCAACACAACCTTCAACAACTTAACAACTACACACAAACAATAATCTAGCTTCCCTTATCTCGAGTTACTCGGCTCCAAGGTAGAAGAAGAAGAACGATCGGCGCTTAGCAACTTGATTCAAGGTTTCGACCACCTGAATCACAACAACACAACTTAGAAATGAATCAAGAAGAAGAAGAGAAGAAGATTAAGAGAAAAAAGAGTTCAAAGACCAGAGACCTTCTCTCTAAGAACCTGAGCGAAGTGAGTTTACATGACTGTTTAAAACATAAATGTTATATACTCTTCCCTCCAAGGTCAATCTAAGTGTTTTATCTAGAGAACTCTCTCTTGATGCTACTAAGGCTCAAAAGGGATCCTCAAATCCCATGAGCCCCTTACACACAAACATCTCAACTTAACATCATAATACAATTAGAAGTAATATAATACTATTGCAAGTGACAATGTTACAATTAACAACTTGTTTTATTTTATTACACGCGAGAAAGTAATACAAACAATTTGATTGAATTTGAACATACTTATAGGCAAGGTCCGTGGATGGGTACAACTACTTATTTCTTAATTCTAAGTCTTCCCGATTCAAATTCAATTTTAATTGCTTTTTAACATTTCCTCCATTCAGACTTTTATTTCGTATTTCATTTACTTTTTTCTTTCTTATTTTATTTTAAACTCTTTTTTATTTCTTCTTTATTTATTGACATAAATAAAATTGGGCAAATTGCCCTGATTGTCTTTTGATATGACAAGGTAATAATAAGTAGAAAATCAACCTCATCATCTCATCATCTCTTCTCAATGTATACTAGATCTTACACACTAATTTAATTCAAGTACAAGACTATTTTATTTTTGAAATGTATAAGATGACAGAAAAAAAATCATGAAATCTAATAAAACCCATGACAAAACAAAACATGGCGGAAAAAGAAAAAAGGAAAAGACAAACTGAAAGCTAGCTCGGGGCTGTCAACGAAAGGGAATACTAATATGTAATCTTTTTTTTAATCATGTTACTATTGATCGATGCTTAATATTTATTATATTAAAAAATTTAGTTAGTTCACTTTTAATGAAGATTAAAGTCTTTTTTTAATTATATTTTTCTCATAGAATTTGAATTCTAAATCTTATTTAAAAACAACAAATATTCATAAATATGTAATAATAAAAGTGTCTAATTTACGATAATATTAAACATAATTTCATTTTTATACCGTAATAATTAATCATATCAAGTTAAAGTGTATTATTAGAAGTATTTTCTTTTTATCAATAAAAATTACAATGACGATATTAAAGACCTTATATATAATATCTTAACTTTTGTAACACTGTATTATGACATTTGTCTATTTAATTATATTATTTAATTGAACATTCTTTTTAATATGTTGTTTTAATGCTTTTAAATTTTAAGGATTAATAAATCCTTATTAGTTTAGTTGTTAGAAGATTATTTTGTGTTGACGTTAAAGTTGATCAACTTTAGAGGGATGTATATAAGATTTTATTAAGACTTAAACTTCATAAGTACATATCTTAAGAATTCTAGAGAGAAATTTTAGAGAGATAAATTCAAGAGTCAAAGGAGATTTTTCTTCCTTCCAAATTCATAGGAGAATTATGATCCTTCCCCAGAGCTCAAATTGTAGAAGTTGAGTTGTGACTTGAAGTTTGGAGTGCTGAGAATCAAGTTCGGTGTTGTCGTACGGTGTGAGCTCGAGAGGTCTTGTTCTTCACCGTCTTGAGAATAATTGGTTGAATTGGTAGAGAAAAGATGAATTCTATGGTCATAGCATCATAGCGTCAAGCGTGAGTGAGCTAGAGGCTCTACCTAATTTTCGTTGAGCACGAGATGATTGGCATTGGAAGTAAGTGAGCTAGTAGCTCTTTGCCTCGTTGACCTCAAGTGTGGGATGAATGACATCAAGCATGAGTAAGTCAAAGGCTCTCTACCTCATTGACGTCGGGTGCAGGATGTTTGGCACTAAGCGTGAATGATTCAAAAGCTTTTTGTCTTATTAACGTCGGGTATGAGATGAGTGACGTCGGACATGAGTAATTCAAAGACTCTCTATCTCATTTACATCAAGTGTAAGATGAATGGTGTTGGGTGTGAGTACGTTAAATCAAATGTGAAGTATGTTATTGTGTGTTGTGTTGTGAATGTATGAGACATGTTGTTATGTTGATAAGATGCATGATACATGTTGTTGAATTGTGTTGTGAACTTAGGATTAAAGGAGACGTATTATTTTAATTAAGAAGTTAAAATATCACATTGTGTGAACATGTGTGGTACACTAAAAGCCCAATTATTGAAAAATCTTCTTGAGATTGTTGCTTCTTGAAGTGGATTGTTAAGTCTCCTCTAAATTTTTACTTGATACCGTATGAGATTAGGTCAAAACTCGTATATTTTATAGAGATTAAAAATATATTTAAACCTTCATAATATTATCTAAAAAAATGTTTTTAATTTAATTAAAAAAATTGAATGATTTTGTTTCTTGGTATCAAGTTTTAATGAAAAATATATTATTTTTTTTAAATTGAGATTAGCAAAATTATATGATATTAACTAAATATTTTAATGAATTAGTTAAATTTGTTTATATTTAAGTACGGAAAAAATATATTGATTTAATTATTAAAGTTCTACTATAAATATACTTAGTGTAAACGATTTTATTTTTTTATTAAATGTGAGAAATTTGATTATTCATTAAATGTGAGTAGATTCAACTGCGGCTATTGTAGTATATTCTTCATTAAGTATGCTAAGTCTATTTAATTTGATTAGATTCAACTGTGGCTATTATAAAGTTAAAATATAGTTTACACAATTTTTTTTATTTGATGAATCAAGCTAAATAGCAATAAGTTATAATATATAAATTACATTATTCGACCAACAGACGTAAACTCATGGGATTTGTCCCTCTTAATTTTTTTCAAATTAATTTTTTTTTTAAAATAATTATAAGTGATTATTCATAAAATATGAGATTTTTTTTTTCTTAAGGATATAATGATTTACTAAAAGTAAAAACTAAAAAAATTACATCATCTTATGTATTTTACCCTTTTTTTTTAGGATATAATGAGTCAAAGCATTTCATATCTCAATTAAAAATAAAATTAAAATTAAATAATAAAAATATAATAATTTAACTATTATTATGATTAATTCATTAATTTTAAGTCTTAAATTTGATTAAAAAAATTATTTTTTTTAATTTTTTTAAATAAAAGAATATGATGGTTAACAAAATGTGAAAACTAATATAATTATTAAAAAGAATATCCATTTTATATATTAGTATAGATATAGATGTATAATAATATCATCCGGAACTAAGATGGTATTTGGATGTTTTAAAACCACATATTGAAAAGTAATAAGAAAATTTTAAAATATAAAATACTGAGGTATAAATTATTTGAATTGAAATTAATTTTTAAAATTTTTTTCATTTAAAAAAATCAGTTTTAAACTTTAAAAATATAATTATATAATTGTATAGAAAAAAATATAAGATAGGGAGTAATTCTTTTTTTAATTAAAATAAATAAATAAAATATACAATCAAAAGAAATAATTCATTATTTGAATTAAAATGATAAATTTATACTATATACAAAGGAATATCTTCTATTAGTTTTTACATATTTTTAGACATTTAAATACTCTTATTATGCATTGATTTTTTTTTCAACCATCATATTTTTCAAGGATAAAATAGGAGAAAAAAGATATAT